AATGACGTTAATTATAAGTATAGCAACAAAAAACTATGTGAAATGCTCTCAGGCTTACTACGTTTTCCATGTTTGCTCAGCGATACATGTGAGGGAAAAATTTAATTAGGTTAATCTACTTATAAATATAATTGGGTTATATGTATAATATTAATATATAATTGGGTTAGTCAATAGTAGATTTTTCGACTCCCCCTACTTCTACTTCTACTTCTACCCAGCAAGGCGTGACGTCATCGCAGCTTAGAGCAGCTTGCAGAGTGGCTAGAGCTACTAGAGATACAGGCTGACTCGTCAGCCATTTTGAATCTAAGCTTTAGGGTTGCAATTTAGGTGTGGAGCGGCAACTTTGGCTCTTTAGCGCTGTCCGCTAAAATTTAACATTCTAGAGAATCCGAATTTCAGCTTTTTTCTGCACTCCTATAAAGATGTGTGGCTTTTTCCCCTTCTTTTGTCTGCAGTTCAGATTCTTTCTCGTATTTTTTTTTTTTTTTTAAATTGCCAAATTTCTCGTATGATTCAAGTTATTTTAAAAGTTTCTAAAACATTTTCACATATCATATTTCAAATTTGTATTTTTAGTTAAAAATGCTTTCTTTTTGAATTCCTTTATTGAATTTTCAATTTTTTCTTTTAAATACACGCATAATGTTATTTATCTCAAAATGTATTTTTTGACAAGAGCTTTCCCTCAACCACATTCTTAATATTCCCTCAACCTCTATTAATTTAGGATAAGGTTTAATCTTTAATTTTTGTTTTTTATTTTTAATATGTTATTTGAATTTTGCTCACATGGAATCAAACGTCTATTACTGTAGCAAATTTGTTAAAAATGTTATTTTGTGTGTGTTTCCAGAAAAAGCTGCTAAACACTTTATGATTTTAAATACTGATTCAAGATATACACCTTTAAATTATAATGCTTTTAGAATGAAGAGCAGAATGCTATAAAAATTACTTCAATGCTCAGATGACTGTGGGATTCATAGATTTAATAGAGTAAAAAAATTCCTTTTTTTTTTTTTCTTTATTTAGCTATAAAACAATATTAAAATAATACACACACAAATAAAAATAAAAATAATACCTTTACATACAGAATTTACAGATACTATTTACTTATAAGTTTATTTGTTGTTGATGGTTACTTTTTATTATACTTGGAAAAATTATACTTACATACATATGCTCTTAATATTACACGTATCTGAATATTTAAATGATAATTCCATAACATAATAAGATTCAATCTATATCACAGCAAAGACAATACTTAAATCACAGTTCTTTTTATTAATTAATTTGCATAAGTAAAAACATAAAAATATTATTTAGCTTCAAATCTATAAAATAAGTCCTCTAGTAACAAACATATGACAAACACATATAGTGAAAATAAAGATAAATAAATAAAAATGTTTTGCTTTTTGGTCTAATGTAGTGCAATTCAGTCTATTATATTCAAATTCTATTAAAACATACTGCAGTAATTGAATTTTTTCCATTATACATCAAACAGCTTTATATAGAATGTAATTCTCATTTATATGCGGAGATGTTTGAATAAATGCAAAAAAACATCTGAATAAATTTTAGCCAACACTATTCAGATAGTATTCTTGTTTTCAAGGTATATCATTTTTATTTTGTTCTTTTTCCATTAAAGGAGCTAACCTAAGACCACAAAGGTTCCATAATATTCAGGTCTGGTGACTGTGGTGGCCAGGGGAGATGGGACAACTCATCCTCGTGCTCAGAAAACCAGTCCTGGACAATGTGAGCTGTGTGAACAGGGGCTTTGTCGTCTTGGAAGACACCATCACCATCGGTGATGTACCATGGTTTGTACCATGGGATGAACTTGATCGGCCAAAATGTTCACATAAGTCTTGGCAGTCATGTGCCCTGACACAGTTATCATGGGGCTAGCAGAGAACCACGATATGGCTGCCCAAACCATAACAGAACCCCCGCCATGTTTCACTCTTGGCAACAACAGTCTGTATTATAGGCTTGAGATGGCGTTCTCCAGACGTAAACTCGGCCAGAAGTGGGAAACAATGTGAAAGAAGACTCGTCAGACCATATTACTCGCTTCCACTGCTCTATAGTCCAGGCTTTATGACTTAAACACCACCTTTTCCTGTTACGGGCATTATCATCACTGATGAGTGGCTTCTCAATTGCAGCACGGCCAGCAATTCCCTGTTTAATGAAGCTCCCTTCTAATTGTTTTGTTTTGAAGCTCCCTTCTAATTGTTTACAGGGTTCGGTAACACAACATTCATTTCAGCAGTAACTTTTGCAGCTGTGGTCTTCTTATTTTTTGTCACAATTGCCCTTAATGATCGTCTGTCACGATCACTCAGGACACACTTTCGTCCGCCCTGTGATTTAGCAGATGATGTTTTTCCGCTTTTCAAATATGCGGAATAAATCTTCGATACAGTACCTCTTGAAACACTAAACACCTCGGCTACCTTGCTTACGGAAGCACCTACCATACGTGCTCCAACAATTTGCCCACGTTCGAAGTCTGTTAACTCTGACATAATGCAATGACAACCTCACATAACAGTACTCCGACAACAACTGAACTGTTTAGCACATTTACGAAGTTGTATAGGTGGCGTCAGTAGTCAAAAACGCCAGCGCCACCTACATTTCATTAAAATCAATCTTTCTTTTCAAACATGCATTTCACAAGGTGTTTCCATATTTTTGTCCATCCACTGTATCTCATTGATATATATTAAATATAGCTTAAACATGTTTTATGTGCATACCCAAAGGGGGTGGGAAGTAAGCCTTGATTCAAAATCTGTTTTAAAGCAATAAGTAAATAAATAAAATACACTGGTTCTATTAGAATGTCAAAAAATACTGTTATGTATTCTATAAACAAATCCAAATTATCACATCATACTATATAACCCTGGTACAAAAGAAGAAATGTCTGATTAGGAACATACTCTATTTATTTGGTAAAAAAGAAGAGTAAAACATATGCAACATCCCATTATGAAAAATCCTGCAAGCCATTACAATACTATAAGACATTGATTAGTAAGGTAAACATCAGTTGATCATTCTTTCACAACAGCAATAAATGTTTCATTTAAAATTCCTAATAACATGCCAAAACAGATTCACAATTGATGCCTCATTTAAGGTCACACAAAAGTAAATCCGATTTAGCTGACTATGAGATCTTCTATTGTAGAGGACTTTCTAAGGAGAACTGGCTTGTATTCACATTACACATGGGGAAAAACCACAAAAAAACCAACCATGCAGCCAGCCTGTTCGGAAATAGAACAGAAGATGGAACTCCCAGCATTCAGTAACTTTAACCATTCAGCTGTTGGTGGGCCTAATTATTATTCGAAGAGACAAACAGCAATTTTTCAGTGACAACTACTCTACTTTTTTACAGACAGAACTGAACAGCAAAAACTTCTTAAACTCTTGATTAGATTCTAGTTTACTTTCTTCCTTTTAAAAGCAGGAGATGCAAAACTTTGCCGCTGCTGCCTTTTATTTTGAAGAAGCTTCTTGAGACCAATTCCACGGGCAGTCAAATAATATTTTATTATCTTTGTTTTGATATTGCAACAGGAGGGAATATTTACCTCGCCTGCTTTCTTACAAATCATATTAACAAATTCCACATCCATAGTTACATTTCCATGTATTATTTCGTCTCGAAAATTTTGAATTATTTTTTCACACAGAAGGCACAATTTAAAAATTTCTGGAGAAGGACATTTAAGCCCACCTAAATTTGCAAAATTAATTATGTACTGCTTATTTTCATCAATGGAAGGAGTATTTTGCTCACAAACTAAGAGAAACTGTGAGCATGAATTACAAGCATTTTTCAAAACAGAATTTATTGCAGCTCCTGCAATATAACAGACGTTATTTTCCTCACTAAGGGTGAGATTCTGTAGAGATACATCAGAAACTTCTGGTATGGTAACAGGCTCTAAAGCTTTTTTCTCCTTCAGAAATTCAAATTCATCTTTCGCATAGTTTAATAAGTAAATATCTGAATCAGTAGCATAACTGGAGTTCTTAATGTCAGATATAAACTGAGATAAACAGATAAGCTTTAATGCTTTCACAGCTTGCAAAGCACTTGGCCTCAAACCAGCTTTTCTGCGTATCTGAGAAAATACATTTTCTAGAGCATCTTGTGTCAATCTGCTCGTCAAAATAAACTGAAAATCATTCAGAAAACATGCCTCTGCTAACTGTATGGCTGATAAAGTAGAAAGAATCAAACCAGTATGTAATGGTTTCCACCCTTTACCAATTTCTATAAGCTGTATAACATTAATAAATTCAAAAAGTAACTCAATTTTTTTGCTTTTATTTGTCACAGAAATTGAGTTCTTTCTACATCTAGAGGATAGCATTTGAAACCACTGACATATAAATCTTATCCACCATGCTGTTGTAAGAGCATTAGGGCTTATCTCTTTTAAAGCTACTGCCTTCTCCAATCCCACAGCTGTTTTAATTGGAAAAAAACCTCACAGCAGAAGCAACATTCATTTTATCAAAATGTGAGGGGAAGAGGTCTTCTTTGCTGAGATGATGCATAGTTCTCAAACCACAATTTTGGTTTGTTTCAGTAATCCAGATATCTTTTATAAATCCTGCAGATACATGCAAAGTAACCAAATTTTCTTTATTGCAAACATAACTGGGCAGTTTTATACTATGATTAAGAGTTGCAGACCAGAGATTTTTTAAAAGATGTGGCACATCTGCAAATACATAAATAATTTTGCCCTTAATTTCAGTAGTGAAATTATTTCTTTGGTTTCGAGAAACAGATATTCCCAAAGAATTCCACAGGCTTCTATTTACTGCTGCCATATCGCTAACAATACCAACAACATTAAATCCAACAGAATTGACAGCTTCGATAACATTGACAACAAGTTGTTTGAGCTGGCATCCTGTTACCTGTCCAGTTATCTCTCATGGGCAACCACTTGCTTCCATTTCAGCTTCAAACCTCTTAGTAAAATAACTAAATAGTGATTTCCTGCACCCTTTTGATTTCCTAATGTACATTTACCAATAAATTTACGTTTTGAAATATCAAAATCAGGATTGCCAGAAATCTCCATTTCATCCAATGATAAAATACAGTCTTTATCACTAGCATTCATTTTTTCTCCTTTAATTTTCAAAGGTTCAATCATCTCACTGATGACTCCAAAATTCATTTCAAGACCTTGAAGTCTTTTATTTAAAGTGCTGTATGAAGGCACGGAAAACCTATTCTGTGCAAGTAATTATAACCATGCTTGCCCAAGGCAAATCTAACTTTGAGGCCTTTTATTATTCCCTCGTTAGACCATTTTGCAATGCTTCTACGAGGAATTTTCAACATTGCTATTTGTTCATCTGAAAGAAATGTTTTCACTCCTTTCAGCAATTCCTCATGCTGTACTTGAAGGTCATGAAGTTGAATTTCAGTGCTATGCCATTTTTTTAAAACATTAATTTCTTTTTTTTTTTTTTTTTTTTTTTTTTTTTTTGTTGTTGCTGTAAGTTCTTTCAGTAATATTTTGTTCTGGCATTGCAGAAGCGAGATCAATTCAGTCTGCTGTTTTATAAAATTCCTTAAAAGAACATCCTGGAATAAAGAAAAAATCTATATGAATAATCATCAAAGAAGGGGGGGAACACAACAAACAAACAAAAAAGATCTGAAAGGTTTCAGATTTTAAATTACACCCAAAGGGGCCTTTTTTTAACATTTTGTGTTTTACCTTTATTTATTAAATATCAAGTTTTTCACACTTAAACTATAAAATTCAGTTCAACAGCAATATTGCAAGATAATTTTAAAATGAACATATCTTCAGAATTCCCGATTCATTGTCTCACACGCTGGAGATAAAAGTGTCTTTTCTGTACAACATTGCCATTGCTCGCTTTGAAATCCTCAAGTTTGTTAATCAAAAATTCGTTAAAGTTTTACAACATATAAAATATATATTAAAACAAATTCCGAATTTCAAATTCGGTCTTCCAGATGTCCATATTCACAGTAGAATTAAGTCATTCAAAATTTGATGGCTCTAGGTACCGTTGTTTTATCAGAATGCAAAAAACATACATGCATTTATGCAGATTCTTCACTATATAATTTCTTTAAATATAGTACAGGGTGATAATATTTGGTGGCAACAATTTGAAAAGTGATGCAGCCGTTTATAGTGTTTCAATACAAAACGAAAACAATAGTCCTTCAGGGACAAAGCCCCTTTGGATTAAATGTCAAACTTAAACAGATAATAAATCCACAAAATAAAAATGAAATGCAAGTTCCAGGTCTCTTTTCCTATACTGTGGTGGGTTTTTAAATTTGACTCTATTGTTTTCAGCATTTTCTAGATTATTTTTGTTTTATTTTCTAATATTTAAAATTTATTTCACTTAAAAATAGATTTTTAAAATTTATTTCCAGCTTTTCAAGGGATCGATTATCTCCATAATCATGAGCAATTTAATAACACAAATTATCAACTTATATCACAGCCTTCACAAATGCTGATGAAATTAATTAAAATTAATTACAATTTGGTTGCAAGATGAATCTAAAGGTTGTTTTTGCAAACAAAACTGAAATTTACATAGAGAATTTGCAACTATTGATGAAATTAATTACATTCCTTTTACCAAAAAATTACTTTATAGAACATTTTAAATGCATATAAGGAAGCAATTTAATTATACATTAGTTATCAACTTACATCAGAGCCTTCACAAATAGATGGTATTTCATTGCAAAATGAGGCTAAAGGCTGTTCTTGCAAACAAACAAACCTGAAATGTACACAAAGAATTTGTAAATGCTGATGAAATTAATTACATTCCTTTTACCCCCCCCCCAAAAAAAGTTAATAGAAACGTTTTGTATAAGCAAGCAATTTAATAATACACTAATTATCTACTTACATGAGATCCTTCACAAATAGATGGCATTTTATCACAAGATGAAGTTGAAGCTTGTTCTTGCAAACAAACCTGAAATATATATATAAGAAATTTAGAAATACAGATAATATAAACTACATTCATTTTAAGAAATAATTATTTTACATAACATTTTATAATTCATAAATAGATAATAAATTGTTAACACTCAAAATTCAAAAATAATTCCATAGCACACAACAGCCAGATATAGTACAGCTGTTTAGCAACCATAAGACAAACAATTTCATATTTCAGAAATCGTATAAAAATTCATTAATATATGTAAAACATATGACATTTAATAGCTGCTCAAATGAAAACATAGAATAGATTCTTTACTAGCAGCTGTTATTTAATCAGAAGGTAATGCTAAATGTTGTTGCAAACACACCTGAGATGTACTGTAATGTACACATTTGCAACCACTGGTGAAATGAAATAAAGTGCATGATTATGAAGATGGAAACATTTAAAAAAAAACATAGTACAGTTTACGAATAGATGTTAAAAAACTATTAAAATTTTTTAGAAGTGCAAAATGGCAATTTACATCAGATACTTCGGCAGCAAAATTTATTTCTCCAAAATATGAAGCTGAAGGTTGTGGCAAATGAACCTAAAAGAAATTATAATATATGAAATATGTGGAAGTGAAAGAAATTATAAACTCTGATCGGATAAAAATAAATACAAATAATCATTACCATTTTCAAAGTAACTCAACTTATAAAAAAGCATAAATACATTGGACTGTTCATAGCATTCATACTTCTTAAACATAAGTAAATATTACGTTAATATATTTTTAAATTTTAGAAACAGTGTTAATACTTTTTAGAAAAAGTTTATAATACTAAATATTTAATAACTGTTCAAATGAAGACTTACAACAGATGGTTCAGCAACAGAAATCGCTTCAGTTGATAAAGGTAAACTGTGCAGCAAGCCACCCTGAAGATGCAAAAATTATGAAACACATATAAGTAAGGATACCTGAAAATGCTGATAAATAAAATATACTTAATGTAATTTTAATAATAAATAATATAAATAATCCTAATAAGTTTTGTAAATCTTTAAAACAAAAATAACAACATTCAGACAAGACATATAAGACATTAAAATATACATTTAAATCAATGTATTATAACTATATTATTGTATTACTCAAGATTAAAGTTATTAATTTCAATATTATTTCTTTTACTTACTCCATACATATTTCTCTCTATTTATCTGGAATTTAAAATTAAGCAAAAAAGCAACTTTAGTTTAATACAAATTTTGATTTAAACTCTTTTGACTTTGAAGGCAATCAGATACCGGTTTCTTTCTTTTAGGAGCAAATTTGAAGAAACCAGACCCATGTATGACCGTCCTCGAAAAAATACATCAAATTGAGGTTTTATGCTTAATTTTCAATATATGATTATAATAACAAAGTACATACTTAATTATATATATAACAACAGCAAAATTTTAATTTTTTAATCTAATCTTAGGGACTGTAATTACAGCTTTATCACATAATGCCTTAATTTCAATATTTTGATTCTTTTATAAAGCAATTTAGTCCATTTGTAATAAAAACATATTTTTTTATGAAAAACCATAAAAATAAAAAACACATACATTACAAAAATTGGATGTAACTGAACGGTGCTTTGGTAAACCAATGCCTTTTAGACGCTGTGGGGTCAACAGTTGTGGGGGATTAGGCACATTGAAAAGAGTTGGCACAGCATTGGGCTTGAGTTTTTTACGCCCATCTTGCCTAGAGCATTCAAATTGATTTTCTTCAAAATGTACCTGCATATTTAACAAAAGCATGCATGAAATTTAACATTAAAATCAAAAGCACTAGTATTAAATTACAGTTACATATATTATAATAATTTAAGAATGTAATTTTCTGATAAATTAAATTTTTTTATGAAAATAGAACAAAATTTTTAAAAAGTAATCATGTTTGTAAAACTACTTAAAACATATTTCCTGCTCACACACTAAAAATAAATTTAAAGTACCTATAGTTAAAAATACAACATTAAGATTTACTACTACACAATAAAGGATAATAATGGGATCAAAACGATTCATCGAATATTTAAATTAATATTTAACTTCTTAAAAATGTCTAAAAATACAGAATATATTTATCTTACTATAAAGAAAAAACAAAATCATTTATTATTTGGATCATACCATCCAGTTTTTAACATTGGCGCCAACTATCCGATTTGGCGACAATACATCAGAATCAAAACATAGAATGCTACTTTAAATCACCAATCGTACAGTAAAATTAAAGAAAAGAAAAAGGCACATCACATTTCTAACTGAGCACAAAGTTTACATGAAATGTATGATACAAATTTTACAAACGGTATAAACTTTTCACGATAACAAAAGAAACAACATGAAACAACGATATTTTACTGCACAAACATATACACATTCCGCAGTTGATTTTGTACTTATAAAATCAGTTGATCGTCAATAAGTGACAGTTAAATGAAAATAAATATTTTAAAGTACCAAGAAGAGTAATTTTTCTAACATTCTATGGAAAAATACGAAGCTGAACTTACCTCACAAAGATACGCTCCTGGGCCCGGGATCCATTGATCTCGACGAGAATTAACTATCCATTTCATTTCTAGGGAAACGAAACATCCTAAAGTTATTTTTAGACTGATTCGAACAATTTGGTGCAGCACAACCACCCATTTTTCTGAAAATTAGGTCGGAATCGATCCACAAATATGTCAAAAAATCAGTGCTAATCCAATAGCGAATACCAACAAGTTAGCTTCAGAATGGATGATGATTCAGCTCCCCTTTATAGTAGCCTTAAGAGTGGCAGATGACCGCTGGAAGTGCTGAGAACAAGACGTGTCGATTGGCCAAATATTGGATATAATTAGCCGTGGATGGATGACGATAAACGTATTCTCTCAAGGCATGATCCTACGTGCTTGTAGAACCGTTTGGACTGAGTTTAATTGTGAGGTTACCTACCAAATGCAATGTTAACTTTCAACTAATTTATCTTTTCATTCATTTTTTTCATATTAATAAAATAAAGCAGTTTAGTTATGCTTAAGTCGTGCTCTACTATGTTCTTATTGAGGGTAATCTTACATACATATATATATTGACAATAATTACATGTTTTAATTTTTACTTTTGCAATTGTAATATTATTCTTCGTGATGATTTAACTCCAGTCCCCGTTAAAACATTATTAACATTTTGCTTTCAAATTACTTCAAAACATCTTTCAAAATATAACTTACCAGTATGGATGCACACTTTTAAAATAATTCTACTTTAATTAAACTTAGGAGATAATATAATCAATTAATCAATACGGTTTAGGAAATAAATTATTATTATATATAATATATATATATATCGAAAGAGAGAGAGAGAGAGACATATATATATAACTTTATTGTATCTGGATGACTATAGTTTTAATAATGCAATGAAATAAAGTATATATTTTTTTAATTAAAATAGTTATCAAGATATTACCTACTCCGATGTGACCCTGAACAAAACATATCGTATAAAATAAGAATTACGAAATTATAAACCATGTAAACAATTGATTAAACTAAAAGTAATTAACTAAATTAATACATTTCAAATCTGCTAAATTAATAGCTATTAAATTTTAAAATTCAAGATTTATGGAAACGGGACTAACATATTTTTGTTGAAAATGGTAGACTATTAGTCTAAATTGTGAAATATTTCAACAAGCAATATGTTTAAAATTCAGATAAAGAATTTATTTAGTGATAAATTGTAATTAGAATTCTTTCGAGAGTTTAATGAGAAACAAAAAAAGGTTACAAGAACCCGGGTTCTATCCAGTTGGCTTTGGTCAAATTCAATGCAATTAGCTAAATTAACATTTTTCAATATATGTGGGACTTACGAAATGGTAAAATTGCTAAACTACGTCCACGGAACAAAAGCAATTTTTTATGATCAAGAAAAACAAACTAAGCTACTTTTACATTAATTTCGTTTCCTTGACAATAAAAAGAATGGAAGTATTTGGTCTAAAGTGGGAAATATTTCCAAAGGCCAAGCACTAAAATTAGGAAAAAGAATAATCTTTATAATAAAATAAATTAATTAAATAAAACATTTAGCAGATGATAGTCGCATACAGTGTACTGCATGAGTTGGATATACTTGTAAGAACTAGATATCTGTCAGACGGTAGGAAGGTTTAATCCATATGTTTAAAGTGGCGTAACGTCAAATCAAAATGGGAATAGTATAAATAAATCTGATGTTAACAAGGGTTGTGTTTCATGAGAATAACATTTAATAGAACAGCTAAGAAAACCAAATTAATACTCATATAATGCTCATCAGCTTGAAAAACAAAACAAGTAGTAGTAGTAGTAATAATAATGAAAATAATATCTCTTACTCTCCATTCCTACAAAATTACCTTGCTTGGGAATCATTGAATTTACCTAAATATTTTTTTTCAGAAACTGCTCATAGACTTCATTTACGCAGTGCATTGTGGATAAATACATCTTGATTACTTATTTTCAAAACCAGACATTTAAGCACCAAGATAGTCTGCTTTGTTACACGGAAAGTGTGACATATTTGCTCAAGACTGTACACAAAAACTGCCGTAAAAAATACAGCATTACTTTTCTCTTTTTGCAGTTAGCAAAAAGAAACACATTTCCAGATAAGAAAAAGAAATAGAGAAAAAAAAATTCTTCTTGTAGTATTTCAGGCTTAATCCATAATGGATGCGATGAAAGCAAACGATCAACGCCACTACTGGACGGACAGAAAGACAGAGTTAATAATTCAGCTGTCAACCATATTCGCCCAATTAAGAGTCCAAGTTCTTGACAGGACAATTCTGCTTTCCTTTCCCTGACTTCCCTTCAAGTCTGCTTTACTTTTCGCTGTCTTTTTTTTTTTTTTTTCTTTCATTATTTTTTAGAAACCTCATTCCTCTTCAGGAATATCAAGTATCAAATAGAGCTGGAAAGATGACCAGAAAAACATAAAAATTGCACAAGATCCAGAATTTTTTTAAGGCATTTAACAACACTGATGAATAGTCGTTTTTGATACTATTAAGATACATATGTAGCTTTCCTTTGCATTTTACAGAACTACCTAGTTACCTAGAGTTTTAACACAGTTGCTGTAATTAGTATTAAACCTTCATTAGTATGCTGAAAATCACTGGCTTGTCAATGAAAATTATAAAACATATTTACATGATGTGAAAGTATGTACTTGTGCACTTAACAGTGGATTTCAAAAGCGCATTTGAATAGCGCATTTGAATTTAGCGCATTTGAATATATCAGAAAAGGGAGATAAATTAACTGGACTTTTATAAAAACTCAACTTCGTATAAAGTACCCGATAATGAGTTAGGGACAGGCTGAATCGGTACTAAACCAGTTATGTCTTGGTACCAAAATTTATTTAATAGCAATTCTTCACTATAGTATACTAATCTGCTTAAAAAAATTGATAGAGAGGCAAAAAGGGCAAAAATACTTCATTTTTATGGCAGGTATTTTAGTTTGAAATATATCTAAAAAAATCTGTTGTGGTCAGCACATTACCTTCCGCCAATTTTATATTTTCAGTAACAACGAGCTTTTAAGTAAAGCATTATTTCCGGTTGATCGTTTATAAACAAAATCCAATGTTTTGTTCCAATAAATAAGAAGTACTGTAATACAAAGTTTTGGGTTATATTTTATCAGGCGTAATTAATTGGACATGAGTAAAAACTTTTTTTTTTTTTTTTTAATTTTATTTATATCAACATAATCAAATGTCTGTCCCTTTATTTCTTTTAACTAAAAATTAACTGCATATAAATGTGGAAAGCTTGAAGACGGAAGTTGGAAGTTGGAGTTATCGGAGACGAAAATACCGTCAGATACATACACACAGACAGGCAGACATCATTGTAAAAGTAGACAAGTCTTACTTTGGGGACCCTAATTCGTGCTTATTCACTGAAAATTCAATATCGAACTTTGTAACAAAAATATTACGTCCCTTACTTTTATATATATTGGTTCGTATGAAGTAAAAATGGAAACATTTTTTTTTTTTTTTTTAAATTACATGGTTCGTATGAGGTAGAAATGGAAACTTTTTTTTTTTTTTTTTTTTTTTTTTTCAAAATGAATTAAATGAAAAAATGCCAAAATGAAATTAATAGTCCTTCTGGGCAAACTGCCCCTTTGGACTAAAAATTATTGATGGTATTCTTATGTAAAGTGAATAATTACTTAACAGTATAGACAAAAGTATTCTTTGGTTTACAATATAGTGGTGTAAAATTTCTTTATAAAAATGTAATTCGTAAAGTCAGTATTATATTTGGCATTGTATTTCATAGGCTGCTGCTTCATAATTAGGAGAATATGTTGACATTTCTGCTCGTAAGCAATCATCAAGATATCCATCTGAAAGTCGAGACCTGCACTTCAATTTTATGATATGCATTTTTGAAAATACTAATATTTGACAATTTTTTTTTTTAAATGTGAACTAGTAACAGGATGAAAATGAAAAACTGAGGGCTGAAGCCAGGATCATACCTTCAAAATGCGACATTCTCGATCAAGCCGGGACGCCTGGTAAGCCCATTTAAAATTATAAACAATTAATTTTTAAATAAATATACTTATATTTCTCTAATCAATTCCAAACTATAAAAAAAAATTACATAACATTTTATTGAAAGCTAAAATGATTTTTATAATGGTACACATGACCGGAGCAGTGGTGCTCGGGGACATAGGATTGGGGACCTCTACCTTAGACGCGCCATTGCCAACCTGTCGATCGCGAGCTACCGATAGCTCGCAAAGGCAACTCTGGTAGTTTACAATAAATTTTTTAAATTTTTAAAATATAGAGGTGTAAAAATCATAGAAGCTTCTTTAAAATTCGCATATTCTCATAATAAACACAAGCAGCGGCAACGCTGCAGTGAGCGATCTGCGCCACAGACGTCAACGTGTTAGAATCGTTAAAACTCGAACTAGTACTCAAGAACGATTCTGGGTTGCTTTGAACGAGATAAATACGCAATGCGCTGCAAAACTGTACTCAGCTTAAAACTGAAAGGTATAATCAACGTCCAGTGGTGGGTTAGTACAGAGCAATAAAACATATGATGGCAAGCAGTACATGCAGATGAAGAGAGGTACAAGCAGGTACAAGCAAATGAAGACATACCATTTCCATTCGGAATGGGAAGAAAAATACATCTTTATAGAGGTAAAAATGCATGTTTGTTATGTAGTAACTCTGTCTCCGTTGTTAAACAAGGAAATATTGAGAGGCATTATAAAACTGTACATTCTGATTTTGAAAAAACATTGCCATTACATTCTGCCAGCAGAAAGGAAAAACTGAAACAATCATAAAACCAGTTGCTTGGACAGCAGTCAATATTTTCAAAAACACTTGACATAAACAAAGCTGCAACTGAAGCATCATATAGTGTGTCCCAGATAATTGCACAAAAGAAACCTTATGAAGACGTGGAAATGATATCCCATTCGTTATTTGCTAACTTTAGATATAAAGACGAGATAGTTTCAGCCATAAAATCTATGCA